AGTTGTTATTTGTCTTTCCCAAACATGGATTTGTGCACCACGTGGAGATTTGGTAATTCATAGTTTTACAAACATGATTTTTGTATACTATGACGAACGAAATGAACGGTGGCCGATCAATATCGAAAAATAGCCACACCGAACAAGCTTAGATTTTATTTATTCAAATTTATTTTCAAATATAAGTCTCAAATTCTAGAGACATGGTAGGTTACGAAAGTGAATACAAAAAAAAATCTCTTTTCTAACCATGATTTTCTTGGACAACATGTTCTTATTCTACACACAACGCATATAGATGCAGAAAACACATATATTCTATGTTTTTTTTCACAATCAGCTACTGATTTGAGTGCGACAAACCATGGCTCCATACCGTATCACTCTTACCTGGCGTTTTGCAGGTTATTTCGAAGTCGGCGCCTGTTCATGGTATCCCGGTTCAATTCGGCCCAAGACAAATTTGCACATGCTAAATATAAATAATTTTCTTCTGTCCAACTATGTCATTTATAATAATATAAATTCGTATTATCATATAGATATAAATATAGATTTGGGGAAATGCTACAATACCGCAACAGAATCATTTATTTATATAAAACTCTAATAAGAAATTGTCACATCACTTTTGGTTGAGAAGATTTAATGATCTATATCAAAACTAAAAAATCTATGATTTCAATCGAATTGAGAGAACCATTCTCCACATCACTGTAGCCATTCCCATGGATTTGAGTTTTGATACAACACTTTTGGCATGATTGGTATGATGGAATGAAATTTCGTAGGAATGGAATGAATTGAATAATGGAATTATTATGGGAATGGAATGAAACATGTTTTGTCATTGATGCGTTTGATATGCAGAAGGAATATGACTGGAATGGAATGACATTATCATTTTTTATTATAAAAATAAATAAAAGCTTTTTTAAAAAATAATATACTTTTAATAAATTATATATAAATGCTTTTTTAATAATATATAAAAATAAAATAATATATTTTTAATAATATATTTTGAATAATATATTGTTTAATAATATTAAAAATAATATATTTTTAATAATATATTTTTAATAATATATAAAAATAAAATAATATATTTTATTTTTTAATTAAAAAGTAAATAAAAGTATTGTTCGCCTATATTTTTAAAGCTCGACCGCAAGTGTACGGCTTCGCTCGTAGTACGTGGCAAGCAAGGTCGTATCTCAAGAGACCAAATAATCAATATATCAAGTACTAGATTATGATAATGTCAATTTTATTTAGACGATCGAATATGAGATGGTATTCGATCGTATCCCAAGAGACGGTATTCGATCGAATATGAGATGGTATTCGATCAATATAATGTCGAGCTTTAAAAATATAGGCGAACAAGTTTTTGGCGCCGTATCCCAAGAGACCAAATAATCAATATATCAAGCAAGGTCGCTTTCAAAATCTAGAGCTTAGTCATTGCATTATTGGTGTATAAATTGCATTATTGTGCTATAATTCTATATCTTGTTGGAAAGGTATTACACGTGCTTGTTTTGTAGATATTTTCACATATTTGTAGAGCTTGTGGCTATTGGAGGCGCATGGTGAGTACCTAAAACCCCCGAGATGATGAAAGATTGATGTACGGATGAAAAATATGGAAGAAACGAGTGAAACGAGCAAAAATGAGAGTGCAGATTTGTGACACGGGCAGTGACACGGGCACCATGCCCATGTCAGAGGCCGTGTCACTTCAACAGAGAGATTTCGTAACCTGGGAGCTGACACGGGCTGCGACACAGACCGTGACACGGGCAGAATGGCCGTGTCGCGCGCGCAGGCAGTTTTTTATATCTTACCTATTTTGAAAAGGAGAAGGGTTTTGGACATTATAAAAGGCATATTTACCCTATTTTGAGAGGAGGAACGTGATTACACATTAGAGGAGCCCTAGAACACACAAGAGAAGCAATTGGGAAGCAAAAGAAGATCCAACTACAAAGGGATCAAGAAGATTGAAAGATCGACGAGATTCTTAGTTTTTATTTCTTCTTTCCTTTTGAACTTTTATTGATCATGTCGATTTCTAATATGTCTATGTATTTGAATTCGAACATGAGTGGCTAGTTATTTGATTCTAGGACTTGGTAGTAGATTAATATGTTGGGATTTTGGATGAATTATTATAATTGATTGTTTTTCTTTTGAACCCTATTCAAATATTTTGTTCTTCTTTTATGTTTAGCACTTGATCAATTCTTTTACATGTTTGACAATATTATTCATAATTCGAGAGATGAGTTCAACATTAGGTCTTTAATATTTGACACAATTTACTTGCTTGAATCGAGAGATTAGTAGGTCGTTGTGAGGATATTAGATCCTTTAATCTATTTGGAGTTGAATTGCATGTGTTGAGTGGAGACGCTAATATATGTGATTTAATCTACGGTTTTATCGATCTTGAGAGGGACGATAAGCTAAATTTGTGATCATCTTATAGGGAAGATAAAGAAAACATTGGTTGTGATATTTCTGAAGGAACTCAACTATTAATTGAAACCAAAGTCTTAGAATCTATCATTCCCATATACTTTCTTACGTGTTTTTCCTAGTTCTTTATTTTTGCTTTATTTTTCTTTGATTTATTTTCTTAGTTAGGGTAGGAAAAATATGGATAAAGTGACGAAAACTTGAGCATCTAGAACTACAAAATATAGTCAATATATCAAGGTCGTATCCCAAGAGACCAAATAATCAATATATCAAGTACTACTTTATGATAATGTCAATTTTATTTAGACGATCGAATATGAGATGGATTAGCTAATTAAGAAAATAAATCAAAGGAAAATAAAGCAAAAATAAAGAACTAGCTAGAAAAACACGTAAGAAAGTATATGAGAATGATAGATTCTAAGACTTTGGTTTCAATTAATAGTTGAGTTCCTTCAGAAATATCACAACGAATGTTTTCTTTATCTTCCCTATAAGATGATCACAAATTTAGCTTATCGTCCCTCTCAAGATCGATAAAACCGTAGATTAAATCACATATATTAGCGTCTCCACTCAACACATGCAATTCAACTCCAAATAGATTAAATGATCTAATATCCTCACAACGACCTACTAATCTCTCGATTCAAGCAAGTAAATTGTGTCAAATATTAAAGACCTAATATTGAACTCATCTCTCGAATTATGAACAATATTGTCAAACATGTAAAAGCATTGATCAAGTGCTAAACATAAAAGAAGAACAAAATATTTGAATAGGGTTCAAAAGAAAAACAATCAATTATAATAATTCATCCAAAATCCCAACATATTAATCTACTACCAAGTCCTAGAATCAAATAAACTAGCCACTCATGTTCAAATTCAAATGCATAGACATATTAGAAATCGACATGATCAATAAAAGTTCAAAAGGAAAGAAGAAATAAAAACTAGGAATCTCGTCGATCTTTCAATCTTCTTGATCCCTTTGTAGTTGGATCGTCTTTTGCTTCCCAATTGCTTCTCTTGTGTGTTCTAGGGCTCCTCTAATGTGTAATCACGTTCCTCCTCTCAAAATAGGGTAAATATGCCTTTTATAATGTCCAAAACCCTTCTCCTTTTCAAAATAGGTATGATATAAAAAACTGCCTGCGCGCGCGACACGGCCATTCTGCCCGTGTCACGGTCCGTGTCGCAGCCTGTGTCAATTCCCAGTTTACGAAATCTCTCTGTTGAGGTGACACGGCCTCTGACACGGGCATGGTGCCCGTGTCACTGCCCGTGTCACAAATCTGCACTCTCATTTTTGCTCGTTTCACTCGTTTCTTCCATATTTTTCATCCATACATCAATCTTTCATCATCTCGGGGGTTTTAGGTACTCACCATGCGCCTCCAATAGCCACAAGCTGTACAAATATGTGAAAATATCTACAAAACAAGCACGTGTAATACCTTTCCAACAAAATATAGAATTATAGCACAATAATGCAATTTATACACAAATAATGCAATGACTAAGCTCTAGATACTCAATAAATATGGTGTAAAATCACACATGAACAAGTATGTTTTCAATTTTTTTATTTGAATTTTATTTTTAAAATAATATATTTTTAATAATATTTTAAAATAAATTAATATATTTTTAATAATATATATTTTTAATATTTTTCAATAATATATTTTTAAAAGTAATACATTTTTAATATTTAAAAAATAATATATTTTTAATAATATATATAAATAAATTAATATATTTTTAAAATATATATAAATGTTTTTTTTAGTTTTATTTTTATATAAATATTTAATATATCTAATTAAAATATAAATAAAAGTAAGTTTTTAATTTTTTTATTTGAATTTATTTTTAAAAATAATTTTATTTAATATCTTTTAATCATAATTTATAATATATATTATATATTTATTTTTTATTATTATTTGTTAATTTTATTTTTTGAAAAGTTAATTCCTACACACATGAGAATAAGAAAACCTTCCATTTACTATGGAAATGGTTAATCCCATGGAGATGAGTTTTGGCATTCCCATTGAAAAAGTCATTCCTTCCCAAAAAATATACCAATCATGGAATTAGAAATAAATAAAGGAATGATCATTCCATTCCCACGTCATTCCTTCCTACCAATCATCCATTTTACTTTTGAGTACGGATTTACTATAGTTATGAACTTATCATACATCCATCGTCTAGTATGCGGTACTTCAACTTAAACCCGATGATGTTACATACATGCATAGTATGCATACATTTTGTAATAGAATACACCCTTTCTCCCCAACAAACAAACAACACATACAATCATGCTACCATTTTAATAATAAAATTAAAAATCAAAATATTTTCCTTTTTTCTGGCTGCGCTCGATCTTTGCGACTCCCCCTTTTCCTCTTCGATCTTCCAAAGATTAGGGTTTTTCGGCGTCTCCACTTCTCTTCCAATTTCAATTTCTCCTTTTTAAAAAATATCTTTGCTAAATATCCTCTCTCTGTCTTTCTCTCTCTCTCTCGATTCGATTCATTTTCAGAGCTTACAGATCTTCAGCTCTATCCGTGTTATCCCTTTCTTTAACTCGTCTGTTTCCCTCCACGATAGATTCGTTTGCTCACTCAAGATATGTTCTGGAAGCTCACGGCCCTGTCAGCATCGTCTCCTGTAAGTCAACGGTGCAGCTCCTTGTTTTTTTTTTTGCATTCTGTTCTGTTGGGTTATAATGAATTTTTTAAGTGCAGAATATGTGGTGTTGAAGTAGCTTCGGCCTTAAATTTTGTCATTAGGAGCTTTAGCTAAGTTTCGTCTACTTTACATCATTGTAAATGGCAATTTTTCCCCTATCCCCTTGAGTCATGTTACAATGATTGTGGTTGCTGCTGTAGTTCTGAAAGTGTGCGCATTGCTTGTTTTGCAGCCTTTTGTTTTTGTGAAAATTGTATTGCTGAATTATTTATGAAGCAGTTGAAGTCCAAGATTTTCCATTTTTCAGCATAACTGATAAGTGTTGCAATTTAACGCCTAATGCAGCTGGATACCCGTTGTGCTAAAGGTTCTGTAGTTAGGTGTACCTAAGCATTGGAGTTTTTTTGACATAGGTTTCTTTTTCCCTCTCTTTTCTTGTTGCTGTCTAGTCTATTGTCTACCTCTCCACCTTGCAACTGGGTTTTGACTCTTGGTCTCTCTTCTGACTTTATGTCAGTTTGGTGCCTTGCAACTAATGATCCAAGCTTCAGTTGAAAAAACTTGATGCTTTGTTGTACCATTCTAACTCAAAATTGGCCGTGACTTGTTTGGAGTGTCAAGTCCGGTTTCTCAGTCACTTTCTAGATTTATAACACCTTGTCTGGCATGATAACTATGTAGTAATAGGCACAGGTGCAGGTTTCATTGTCATGACACATCAAGGATGAAAATTTCTTGTGGTTGTGTTATATCTAGAAAAAAGAAGAGATAAATTAGCTGACCTTAGTAGTTATTTATTTATTTAATTTTAATACAACCCTTTGAATTATTATGATGGAATGAGAATAGTCCTCAGATTAAGAGAACGGACATTTCAAATTAAGTGGGTATGGCCATATAAGATGTTTGAAACTAAGGTGTAAAAATAAGCATAATGATAACTATTTTTTTTTTTTTTTTGGTAAACTCCAAACTAATTTAAACATGCCCATATATGTGGGACACTGTATCTCCTGTTAGCTTTGCCATTAGGGACAAGAAACGAGCTGGCACAGTTGTGTTAAGATGACTTAATGAATCTCACTATATCAAGTTAGGTATCCTTGGATTTTTCTTTAGAATGATATTCGGCAGTTTGTCAAAGACAAACTTGTCGGCTGAACCTGGTTGAATAGGTACAAATGTTATCTGCTCGAATGGTTGAACCCAACTATCCATAACTCTTTCAGTTACATCAGTTAAGATAAACAATGATTATATCTTAAATTCATCTTATTGACTCAGGAACTAGGCCCAGTCATGGTTTTACAACAGATTAAAAGAAGACATTTCTATGATTGTGAAAAATGCCCACTTTACTACTGATTGGATTAAAAGTTAAATAGTTAAGTTCAAGCTCTATTGTAAAACTAAACCATTGCATACTGATTTACACACTCATTGTTGTCTCTTTACATCAGTTTAAATCTACTGACCTATCATTGTCAAGTTCTAGACCGAGTATGTTCTGACTTCTGATATATGCTTATTATGGTTTTAGGTTGAGGCTGTGCTGGACAAGGAAAATTTTACATTGGAAGAGCTTTTGGATGAGGAAGAGATCATTCAAGAATGCAAAGCATTAAACAGCCGGCTTATAAATTTGTACTCGTTGCTTAGTTGCTTATCTCATTTGACATTTCCTGTGCTATAAAATTATTCAGTTCCACTTTTTGGTAGAATCACGAACTTTTTGGTTCTCCCATTTTACTTGAGAATTGTTTGGTTTGGTTTCAGTTTGAGAGATAGAGCTCAGGTCGAGCAACTGCTGCATTACATTGTTGATGACCCTTCCGAGGATGCAGATAGCAAAAGAACCTTCAAGTATGTCATTATAGTTTCAATACCGACAAGTTACTGATTGTGTTTTAGGAAACTACTGCTCCGTTATGAATGCATACTGGGAGACAGAGAGGGAAATCTTGACCTATTTGGTCATTTTGGATGCTCATTTGTTGTAAAACCTTTGTCTCACTTTGCAGGTTCCCTTTCATTGCTTGCGAAATTTTTACATGTGAAATTGATGTAATCTTGAAGACTTTGGTGGAGGAGGAGGAGGTTAGGAAATTTAATAATACAATTGAAGTAACATATTTTGATGATGATTCTGATCCTCACTTTACTTGTCGGAGCTCAATCATTTTTTGTAATTATTTCCAGCTTATGGACTTGCTCTTCTCTTTTCTGGAACCAAACCGTAATCATAGTGCATTACTGGCTGGGTATTTTAGTAAGGTTCGGATAGATCACCCCATACACTTGTTTCTTGCTGTGTTGATTCTGTACATTTGACACAACCGACATTTTTAAGTGAAATTTATGTTATTTTGCAGGTTGTCGTGTGCTTGATGATGCGGAAGACTATCTCGCTAATGAATTATGTCAAGGTGATTTTAGTGTTACTTTTGAGCGAGCTCCATTTTGCATGCTAACTGAAGTATAATCTGAACAATTGGAAAAATTGATATATACCCGTTTCCTTTTGCTTCACCACTTCCCTGGTTTTGATTGGGTTCAGTGGAAGGGAAATGGATAATTTTATTTCATCAGTATCTTTGTGTCCTGTCTCCAGATTGATTGGTATTCTTTGTATCACTGTGATCTTATAAGAGGTTAAGACTTGAGATAAATGAGGTTCAGATGTCGTATAATGGTGCAATGAGATTTGCATCTAATTTAGAATAGTTATGAACGCTAGTTTTCCCCCGGCTTCTTTTATACATCTATTGCTTCAGAATGGCTTCATGAAGAGGCATTACATTCATGTTAACATCATTTTCCTGTTAGATTTCTGCATAGTAATAAAAGGCGAATGGGGAGCCGTAGCGATTGCTTACGCAGTTTAAAAAGAACTATATGCAGTCAAAGAGAAACCAAATTATTCTTTATGAATAACCTAACTAAAAGAGTTTATTAAGGCATGTTGAGAAGATGGATTTCTTGGCAAATAGCTATATTTCCTTCTCTCACCCCTTTCCGTAATTCATGGAAATAGATAAAAGTGTAAAGAAGCTTCAAATCCGATATTATCTAGTATTGTACTAGTTTAAATATTAGATTTTTAAATGGGTATGCGTAGATCTGAAGTTAAGATGGCTAAGTGAATATTCTACTATTATGAAGTTCCAAATAATTTTGGAAGTGTGGATTTGAGGAAGCTTTAGGTTTAGTAGGCCTTGTGTTACGTACTAAAATGTCGAAGATATACAATTTATGCACAATGGCTGCGAGAAAGCCAGTTTTGGTGTTCTATAGATTTTCTCCTTCGAAGGAACTTTCAGAGGAGGATATATTTTCTGTACAAGTTTTTCCATTTGCCCAACGATCTTGGTTCTTTGCAGGCCCACCAAGAAGTTTTTAAGCAGCTGGTTGATTTGATCGGTATCACATCCATCATGGAGGTTGATTCTTTTATCTATCTTTCCCTAGTTAGCTTGACTCTCTAATTCTTTTAATCATTGCATATCAGAACTGGCTTAGCTCGCTGCTGCTGTTTGTGTGCTCTCTATCTTTTCTCATTTAGCTCTTTATTTTATCAGGTCTTGGTGCGACTTGTTGGTTCTGATGACCATCTCTACCCCAATTCGTTTGATGTGATGCAGTGGTTGGCTGATAGCAATCTGTTAGAAATGATTGTTGATAAACTTAATAACACAGTAAGTTCAAAGAGAACTTAAAAGTCTAACTATAGGTACATTTGCTGTTGCTGTTGGTGCAGGTATCTAATCAGTCGATTTAGTTGTTAGTTACTTGCAAGTTAGAGCAGCGCATCTATATATCACTTTACTAGTTAGATACATTGTGTGATGTGATGGTCCTTGTTGTCTCCATGTGCGTTGTATATGTTATCATATCTTTGCTAACTAGTCAGTTCTGGGTTGTTGATATGTTGCTGACAAATGGTCATTTGGAAGCATAATCAGTGTACTTGCTCCTATTATCTGGCCATACCAAGAAAGATGTTTGGGCATTGGACTGCTCTATGTGGATTTAGTGACTAATTTTGGGTTTAATGTTTAAAGATATCAAATGGAAGATCTTCATATCTAATCATTGCTCATTTGCTTGAGTATTCTTTTAGTAACATAGAATTTAATGGGCAGGAGTTCATCTCATAGGATACGGCTGCTGTGGCTCTTTTGATTATTATCAATTATGTGTCGCTCAGCTCGTCATTCCTTTTTCTGGTTGGGTCACACGGCTGCAGGGTTCAATGATGGAAAATTATAAGAAATTGCTAATGCAAAGGAAATACAATAATATAATGTATCAGTATCCAGTCCATTGGCTTTGTAGACTGAAGTTCTCCCCAAGGAAACCTCTTGGCCAAGCTTAAAGCCAAAAACTGAATCTTTTAAGACGTGTCTTGCTTTAACAAATAATACACTCTTATGATAAATAGAACACCAAGCCTAATGAATATCTGGATTTGACAGGGCATTGTGACCCTAACGGGTGCAGAACTCACTAATTCATTTTTAAACAAATATAATGAGATAAACTACAAGAAAACTAGAACCTGTATTGTCCTATAGCAAGGCTTATGAGGCATAGGTGATACTATCATATTTGATCTCTGCTCTGGTTTTAATCTAGTTTGAGGATTGTTTGACTTATACCTAAAGATATGCTCCTGGAATTTTCTTGCAGAATCCTGCTGAGGTACATGCTAATGCAGCAGAAACACTATGTGCTATAACTAGGAATCCGCAATCACCTCTGGCCACTAAACTATCTAGCCCAAGGTTTGTAGAACAAAGATAAATATTTGCTTTATGATATGGGGTTACATATTTTATGTTTTTAACTTATTAGCATTTATATTTTGCAGCTTTGTGGAAAGAGTATTTGGTCATGCGCTTGAAAACTCGCCTTCAACATCGGCCCTTGTTCACTCGCTCTCTGTTTGTATTTCTATATTGGATCCAAAAAGATCAATTTCTTCCTCAGTGATGCACGCTTTCAGAAGTCAACATGTTTATGAACCACCAGCACATGTAAAACCAGATACTGTTGGTGCTATGCTTCCGAAACTAGGTATGCAACTGCAGATTGTTGATATAATACTATTTGCTTCTCTCTATGTAAAGTTAAAAAGGGCTGTAACTCTATTTTTAATTGGAAAGGGCTTTTTAGTTAAATGAACTTCACAAATACACAACTCTAGGTTTCCTCTATTGTGAAATTCGCTATAACTTTTTATATGGTTTGATTGCAATTAAATTATGACTTCTTTGAAATTTGTGATTTTGAGCTACCAAACAACTAAACAAGTACACAATCTTTGTTGAATTTTGCAATTTGAAACACCGTCCCTCTCCCGACCAACAATTGCCGATGTCTGTAGATTACTGCCATAGATCCAACTGGTGGATTTTTATAAATCTTACGTTTCTAGGACAATCACCTCCGGAGGAATCAAATGCAACCTCCTGATAGACGATCATAAATTTGTAGCTTCATCTTTGGCCAGTTGGTGCGAATTGCCATCAACTTTGAAGGTGGATTGCCAGCGAATGACTAATCCTGAATTAACGAGACAACTAATTTTTTTTTTTTTTTTTTTTTTTTTTTTTTTTTTTTTTTTTTTTTGTCTTTCCGAAACTTGTGCAGCCATATATTTACAATTTTTTGCAAGGAAAAAGAATTTGTATGTATTGTTGACACTCTTAAATGCATATTTTTGTTCGATAAATTTTCAATTATGCATCCTTAAATCTTCTAATAGCATGTTTGAATTCTTAGACATATTTGCTGCAGCCACAATTTGTAGCCTGTTACAATTTACCTGAGATTGTGTTCTATAATTTTCTAAGAATGTTATAATAAGCATTACACAATTCATGTTCAGGGGAGATGCTAATGCTTTTGAATGTTACATCTGATGAGAAAGTTTTACCCACAACGTACGGTGAATTGAGGCCTCCCCTCGGACAATACCGTTTAAAGGTTAGCTTTCACTATGCGACGGTATAATTTTTCCTGCAACACTCTAAATGGCTAACTTTATCACCCCTAACTGCAATAGTTGAATTCTGGAGCATATGGATCCTTGTATCTTGAATAAATTCACGGAAACAAAACTTACAATTAATTTACAGGACTTGAACATTTTGACATGCCTGAAGTATATGTAATGCTGATATTGTTGTTGTTTAGTCCCTAGAAAAAACTGAGAACAGAAACCGTGTAGTTACCAATATAAATAATTCATCTCTTCTCTAATTTTATTTTTGAAGTCGACTGTTAAATTTATCTGTGATACCTGATTGTAGGTTGTGGAATTCCTTGCTGTGCTGCTAAAAACTGGCAATGAAGTGGCAGAGAAGGAATTGGTTGGTTCTGGAACAATCCGGAGAGTCTTCGATCTCTTTTTTGAGTACGATACATTCTACTAGATATGTCATGTCCTCATAGTTGATAGTGTTCTGAATCTGGCGATAGACTTCTATTACTTATTCCATTGATCTTATGTTTCCATGCAGGTACCCGTACAATAATGCTTTGCATCATCATGTGGAGAGCATTATATATTCATGCTTGGAAAGCAAAAATAGTGCCATCATAGATCATCTTCTCCTTGAATGCAATTTGGTTGGCCGAATTCTTGAAAGTGATAGAAGTCCCAACCTTTCTTGTGAAAATAATCTGGTAAATCATTAACCAGTAATAGAAGTTTGTTGGTTTGTGCATATCTGTTTGTTGTGTAGTTCATTATGATTCTGTGCTCCTTGATGGATAGAGGAAAGATGAAAGTTAACACTTGCTTTCTTGAGAGAATGCATATCCCTGGTGAACAATCTATCGTATCTTAATCTTGCAGGTGAAGCATATTATACTACTACTGGTTTATTTTCACACATCTTATTTTAAAGTTGGAAAACAACCAATATATTATGTATCATTGAGTATATTAGTAAACGAGATGCCTGCTAGACATTCTACTGAAGGTGGCAAAAGTTTGTTTTATAAGATTTTAATTATTTCTTATGGAACTGAAAATATAAATATTTATGCATCTGTATAAATTTTGATAGGTTTATAGCCATTAGATGTGTATACTTATTTATTGATATTAATTAAATGATTTATTTTCTTGTATTTTTACTCTGCAGTTTATATATATTTATACACATTGATAATTGTTATGAAATATCCACACTCATGTATATATATATTGAGTTGAACACATAATATTATGTAGTCAGCTGGATGTGTCTTATTATCTTACCAACTTTGAAGGCACGGAAACTTTCCATCCCTCAAATTATATACATGAATATAATGCCTAAATTTAAAAAGCTTCGGTATCGTTCATCCATATATATGTATTTGAAATAGAAAATTCAAGCTGCTGACAAGTTTCGTGCCTTCCATATGAGACACAGAAGATGTCCAGACTTTGCCTGGACAATTGACTTTTATTATCGTTGAAACTAATTAATCATTATATACTTCTACAACAAACTGTTAGGAAAGCGTATCTCTGGTAGTTTTTTTACTTCTAGGAATGAATACATATGCATATTTAAATAATGTTCTGTTTATTGATTATTTGACGTGTCCTTAACTTCCAGCTTCACCTCACCCTGCGTCTTTCACCATTTTTCCTCTACATGCTTCTGTGTGATGATTTCAATTATTATATATGACAGTGACCTTTTGAATAATTGCAGCCAACTAAGCCAGCTTCTGGAAAGCATGCTCCTCGAGCAGGGTACTTTGGGCACCTGACTAGGATCGCAAATAAATTAGTTCAGTTGGGAAACAGTGTCGTTCAAACACATCTTCAGGTTGGCCACAAGTTTACGAAGTTATCGTGGAATTTCAATTCTACAGCGTTATAATACATTGATATTTTCAAGTTTTATCCGCGATGAATTGTTGGGAGTAGAGACAATTTTCTTATGTTTTCTTGTGTGTTAGAATAATGAGTGGCACATACGGTCTTTAGTTTTATATGACATGGGTTGTTGGGAGTAGAGACAAGTTTCTTCTGTTTCCTTGTGTGTTACAATGATGAGTGGCACATACGGTCTTTAGTTTTATATGACGTGGGTTGTAATATCTGTTTCTTCACTTCAGGAGAATAGTGAGTGGAATGAGTGGCAGAAGACCGTCTTACAGGAGCGTGGTATGATTGAGAATGTTTACAGATGGGCTTGTGGGTAAGCCTTCTCTCACTCCTTTGCTGTTGTGTTTTCACGAATTCAAATTGTTGTGGATTTTATCATCTATGCTTGAAAATGGTAGGTCAGCTGTGACACTTATGTGAGTGGATTTGAAAAGAACTTGGTGCGCCTTAAAGCGCTTGTTATTTATTAGGGAGTGAGAAATTGGCTGGGTTTACAAAGTACAGTAGAACTGAACCATTTTTGTTGTTTGCCTGACAATTGAATAGCCTGCTAGCTTGTGTTACTGTTGTCTGATTAAATATTTCTGGATCAGAGAATTTCCTCTTCCCATTTTCTTCAAAAAGACGCTCTTGTTCAACTGGACTGCAGTTGCGAAAATGATACTAATTCTTGCCCTCCTTTGCAGCCGTCCAACTGCACTACAAGACAGGACCAGGGACAGTGATGAGGAGCCGGACGTTCATGATAGGGATTATGATGTTGCGGCCTTGGCCAATAATTTAAGCCAAGCATTTCGATACAACATATACGACAATGATGACAATGAGGTGATTATCCAAACTGTGGGTAAAAAAGACGAGACTCACTTTTATTCCCAAGAACTCTCTCCAAATACAAACATGTAATTCCTTATATAGCTACCTATTTATGCATGCATTCTGTATTACAGGGCCATGGATCTCTAGATCGTGATGACGAGGTAATATGTGCAGTCAAATTCACTTTTATTCAATTCTCATTTCTGATTACCACCTATATAAGAAACCCAATGTTGCAATTGTCTCACCTTGTCGATATACTCTCCATACACGTTGACAAAAATTGGTCAAATCTGTAGGATGTCTACTTTGACGATGAATCTGCAGAAGTCGTAATATCTTCCTTACGGTTGGGTGATGAGCAAGGGAGGTAAAGTCCCATTACTCTTCACTTCTCTTCCCCAAACACATTCTAAATTCTACAACTGGCGCGTGATTTCTCTCTTTTTTTTTTTTTTCACAGCTTGTTCACAAACTCCAACTGGTTTGCTTTCCAAGACGACAGGATTGGCGAAAATATCCCAATAGACACCTCGGCATCCGACACGCTTGACGGTCTAAAACCGAGCGGCGGTAGCAGCAGCGGCAGCGACGATGACGTGGTGGTCGGTGACGACATTGAAATTGCCGCTGCCTCCACCAACGGCTCCTTAATTCCCGGCACCACCAAAAATCCCTTTGACGAAATCGAGTCGGAAAATGGGCCCCACAATGACGACCCGTTTGGAGACAGGCCTGTGCCCGAGTGGGTAGCATGGGGCGAAGGGCTTGGTGAAGGGTCCACAGTGAACCCTTTTGACGACCCCAACATAAACATTGATGATGAGGGTGATGGTTTGCCAAACGGGACGTCGAGTTCCAGTGAAGCAGAAGATTCGAGCCACAATAGTGTTGCTGTTGTTGTGCCGTCTTTGTTTGAGGAAGATGTGGAGTTTGTGGGTGTGGAGGTGGAAGGCACGGAGAAGGCCATGGAGCAGGCTTTGAAGGAAGGGATTGTTGGTGAGGCTGGGCCGTTGAAGAGGAACCTCTCATCGCCTAAAAAGCCTGAGACTGAGGAAAGTGGTGGTTCTGGGATGGATGAGTTTAATGATGCAAACTATTGGAGGGTTGATCAGGAGGTGACTGTGTTGGAGTGAGACAGTTTAGGGGAGGGGATTGGATTGGATTGGATTGGCCAAACCTCTGAGTTGAGTGGATAGATTGGGATAGCGGAATTGCGGGTTATGTTTAATGATAATAGTGGTTGGTTGTCACTTGTCACTGGTNAGGTTGCGTCAGTTTTGTTATGAAGATAGATATTTGTTGTCTTGTCTGTCCTCTTACCAATATTCATGTTTTTACTTAAATGGTTGCCAGTAAAGAAAACAATCTATTCTGTCATTGTGTAGAATGAAAATTTGGACTGACCTTTGATTGATTGCAGTTTGTATTGATTCGTGGTTAATGCTGGGTTTTACTTTGTTTTTGGTTGTTAGTACGTGTATTTTATAGATTCAGTCCATATACAATAGCCCCTACTATAAATATGGTCATCTCCGATGATTATAATAATCATCAGGAACTCAAGGTTCCTAACATGGAAACGCAGCTGAACAAATAAGACCTTTTTTTCTTTTCTTTTTGGTCTAACCTTCCGCACAATTAGGGGTGTATTTAATTAGGATTTTTAAAGACTTTTTAAAATTTTAAAAATTCTGGTGTATTCAATTTAGATTTGTTAAGACTTTTAAAAATCTTGGGGTATTCAATTGGGATTTTCAAAAGTCTTACAAAATCCTGAGATATTTAATTTTTTTGACACTGAGATTTATTAAGACTTTTTAAGATTTAGTGGGATTTCTAAACAAAAAATCTTATATGAAATCCCACTTCAAATCTTACCCCCGGACTTGAGATTTCATAGAATTATTCCAAAATCTGAAAATCCTAAAAAGTCTCAAATCTCGAAAAGTCTTAAAATGTCATTTAAATTTCGAATTGAATACATTAGTCTATCGATCGCGCCACACGTGTGATTCACAAAGTGGGCCACGAGCGTATCAGATGCCCACTCGGCCACTCCCTATACCACGGGGACTTGCTATCGAAATCAATTTCCTTTCTATTTAATCGGGTAGCTAACAAAGAAAAAAATTCAGAATAAATTGGGCGGGTTTGGAATTTCGCACTAGGGTTTGGTTTAGAAAGTAGAAAAGGTTAGAGAGATCGGGGAATCATGATCGAGGTGGTGTTGAACGATCGGCTGGGGAAGAAGGTAAGGGTGAAGTGCAACGACGACGACACCATTGGAGACCTCAAGAAGCTCGTCGCCGCCCAGACCGGCACCCGCGCCGACAAGATTCGGATCCAGAAGTGGTACACCATATACAAGGATCACATCACCCTCAAGGACTATGAGATCCACGACGGCATGGGCCTCGAGCTCTACTACAACTAGCTTCCTAGCTTGCCAAATTATCCCCAAGTACGCCCTTTCTTCTCTTTGGTTTTCTGCGTCTGATTGGTGGTTTACTGAGCTATTTATGGAATTCGGGGCTTTCAATTGTGCTTAATTTCGTTTAGCTACTTGTTTTTGTTGTCGATGATTGGTGAGTTTCTGTTGCTTTGATATTTAACGAGACTTGGTGAATGATCAATTTTATGCCCTTCTGAACTGAGTGAAGTTAGTTATTTTATTAGCATCGGAAATTTGATGTCAGATTTTTTGTTCCATTGGCACTATTAAACATTGTGAGGAATTGGGTCATTTTATTAGTATAATCTGCTGTTCAGCTGCAATATATACATGTGCTGATGCTACCGCATTTTAATTATGTGGATAATATGGTGTGTAATTGCTCTGATGACACGAAGATTGTATCTGATTCTGGAAATAAGAGAGATAGTTTAGTGAAACAACAGGTATAGAGCGAGAAGTCTTTAGTTTTGTAACATACTCCTTAGTAAATGCAGAAGATGCCAATAGACTTAATTAAATAAGGAACACATTTGTGGCATAAGATAGATCTTAGCCCACATGATTTTCTTCCAAAGTTATAGATCTCTATTCTTGTTACATTTGTGGCTTCAGAGTGTGTATGGCTGAGCTTATAATCCTTAAAAACATTTTAGACCATGTTTTAGAGCTTATGAGATCATAAAACATCTTATTATCAAACACTTTAACTGATTGTTTTAAAAATAATATAGCATTTTATCAGGTTTTTAGCATCATAGAAGATAGAGAAGAAGATTATAAGATCTTTAAAATCTAAGTTTAACCATTTAAAACATGAAATAAGTGCTCTTGGATTTGGAACCTTATGTGTTGGTAATATTAGGCTCTTGTTTAAGCGACGATGTTAGTTTTGAAATTATGTATGCAAGTATGCAACATTTTACCCGTTGAGTGGGTATCATCTTGTCAATAATTAAGTGCTTGGAATGGCTGATTTGAAAAACGAAGCACATTTTTTTGCTGCTTTTATTTGAACAACTAGAACAGATCATTTGCATCATACAAATCCAATTGGGTAGCACTGCATATGAGTTGAATAATTAAGTCTCTTAATCACTATACAATGTTATTCTTCTTCATTTTCCCTATTCGAATTTCGGACCCGCAGTCCAAATGCTTTTCATTTTCACGGTGACGTTATTGCTGAGGTGTATCCTTATCTAGTAATTTTCTTTTCTCCATATTCTTCAAGTATTATGGCACACATACAAGCATCTTCTTTTTTGAACAATTTCTTTATTTCTCACTATAATAAACACCTAAGGGTTTGCTTGTTTACAAATATATTGGTATTTGATTGATTTTTTTGTTAATCAGGGTTAATTTTGAAAAAGTTGATATGATTAAGTTTGTATTAAGATAACATTTTAAATAAAATGATTAAAATTGATTTGATGTAAAAGTAGATGATAAATTATTGGAAATGATTGGTAGGTAAAAGTATGTGAATAGATAAATAGTGAATTTAAATTGATGTGATGTGTAAGAATAGTTGATTGATATTATTTATTTATATTGATAATATTAATGATAGTGGGGTTGAGTTAGATTTTGAGTTGAGATTAGATTTTTTTTTTTTTTTTTAAGCTCAATAACAGTCATCAACATTGTCTGTATGGTGAAACCCAAAAATTAAATAATCAATAATCTATTGGGTTAGTTGTTACTAAATCACATTAGCATTTACTTAGATATATTGAACTTCATTGTTTTAATTTCTCTTCTTTTGGGCATAATTTCTCCTTGCTTATGGTGCCTGCAGGTTCGTGTCTAGGAAAGCGTGGCAGTGAATATACATGTTCTGCTTGAAATAAAATGACCGATGGATAATCATGATGTATGTTTTTGGTGAATATTTGCCAGCATGACTTATTATTCTGTATAAATAAACTCATGAATCTATATAATCAGTATGTATCCTATTATGCAGACGGACTAGTAGATTTTGCTGTTGGAAAGCTGTGACCAATTTAGTAATTTTGTGTTTATCATCTCACTTATTATAACTGCCTTGTGAAATCTGAGATGAGCATGTTTGTTTTGGCAAATTTTGGGGAAGATGTTTTTCCAAGTTTATTTGCATATTGGAAATTGGGTTAGGGGCTGTTAGTAAGTAGATATATATTTTGAGCCTCTCATGCTTAGTACAGGTTTTATTATGATGAATTGTGTGGCAAAGACGAAAGGTTAATAAAATAAAGAACATAATTAATTAGGTGGTGATTGGATAATTCTTTCATTTTATTTGGATAGCTAAATCATTGGATATTTTGGTTTTGATTGATTTTTTTGGTTAACTAGAGTTTAATTTAATAAAATAAAGAACATAATTAATTAGGTGGTGATTGGATAATTCTTTCATTTTATTTGGATAGCTAAAATTTGAGTTCATTGGATATTTTGGTTTTGATTGATTTTTTTGGTTAACTAGAGTTTAATTTTAAAAAAGTTGGTTGAATTAGGTTTGAGTGGATTTTGAGTTTGTATTAAAATAATATTTTAAATAAAATAATTGAAGTTGATTTGATATAAAAATAGAAGAGATGTGATGGGTAGTTTAATTATGTAATTGAATGAGTAGTGCATTAAAATAGTTGTGATATGTAAGGATAATTAATTGTTATTATTTAATTATATTGATAATATTGAGGAGAGATGAGTTGATTTAAATTTTAGTTATGATTAGAAAAATTCAATCATAGTTAATATCTAAGCACCACCAAAGTGTTTTGGGTTTGCTAGCTAAACCTTAAATTTTTAGATAACACAACTATATACTTGTGTTTGAAAGATACCAACTTCCTTTACTTTTTGTTAGTGTCATACACGCAAATTTGCATTTTTCCTATGCACGAAACCAAAAGTATCCACAATTTGCAAAGGTTACCTCATATGTTTTAAGAAATGTTTTTATTCGAATGATTCTTTTTTTTTTTTGGGCAACAATTGTGGCAGACACTGTGTTCTCCCTCACTCCCACAAAAGACATCGTGGGAGCCTTCCCTGACGTGGTCAGCACCGCCCTCACGGTAGACATTATCGGAGCCTTCCGGCCGCAATCTCCCTCACCCTCACGGCAAGCACAGGGAGAGTTAAAAATTAATACTAAAAATGACATAAAAAAAATACTAAATTAGTCCTAAAACTGAAAAACAACGTACAAATGTTAAAAATAAAAATGCATCACAAAACCACGAAAAAAAAAACATAAAGAAAATAAAAATATGTCATAAACCATAAAACTAACAATGTATATTAAGTAATCGGCAAATCGGGCTTCCTCCTAGATTATTGAAAAAGTAGCAAGTTTATTAGTTGGAAATTGATATTGTTGGGTTTGTTGAGCTCTTTTGTACAAAATGCATGCCTTTTAAGCTTCAACATATGGTCGAATCCAAGGATTTTTTTTTTGTTTTTTTTTTTAGAATTGTATCTTGAACAAAATTTTATTTTCTTCATTCATTTCTTTTAGTGCGTGAAACTTGCTTCGCATTTCTAATTGATGTTTCACTTGTTAATTTGTGGGAGAAATACATCAATTCCGAGACTTGAAGACTACTTGTATAAATAATTCTTGTGTGTTCCAATGTAATTTTTTTTAGCTTGCGTAATGTATTTTCGGATTTCTTAATGAAGATTTTATCTCCAAATATTTATGTATATGAATTATGAAATTACAATTAATATTAACACATGCTTTCTCAATTGATATTAAAATAATAGTATTGTCTAATTTGTAATGTTGTGAAATATGTGAGTAGCATTGAAACATTGCTAAAATTATTGTGAAAGAGAATATTCTGCGAATATTTTTAGGATTTGGGAATGAGTTTACTGGTTGGACAAATATTACTGTTTGATGTGAAGATTATTGCGAAATGATTCCTAGAATGAGTTTTTGATTGGAGATAACATTATTATTTCAAATGAAAAACTTAAATCAATTTTACATAAATAGTATGATGACTAGAGCCATTAAAAGAGGCTAGTGGAGTTGGATGGCCCACAACTCAACAAAGTTGGGGGAGAAGACGGTTTGAAAATCGAGGCACGATGCCGGCAAAATTGGGAAAAAAAAAATAATTAATGAGCAAAAGTTTTGATGTGAAAGGCGCGTGGTTTTCACGTTAAATAAAACCCTTTTCACCACTTTTTTTGGACTTGGCTCGCGCGTGCAAATCGGGCATGGCACACGATAGTGCAACTGGGGTAGGAAGGGGATGGATGTCGTGATCATGAATGATTAAAGACATGGCAGTTCGGTCATTTCCCGTCTCATGTCGCGCATTGGGTTGGCCAGGTCCGCCATACCTGAAAAGCAGTACTTAAATTATAGAGAAGATTATATTTAAATCTTATATTTTTATATGTATGAAGGTTTATTTTTTCTAATTAAAAAATACTAGCTTTTAAAGTCTATCAACGGCTGATTTTTATTTATTTTATTCAAAATTGTTTTATTTTTTTGTTCATATCTAGTTTATAAAACATGTATATGTTTAATTTGAATGTCGTGTTTAACTAGTTATTTAAAAAAAAAAATGTATTAAACATGTTAACTAGCCTAAATTATGATTTGGCTTCTAAATATGTGAAATGTACCCTAGCCTATCCAGCCTGATAGCAATGCTTAAATTTTAATTTGGCCTCTCAATATGTGAGATGAATTGGTTTCAATGAGGACACATACTTAAAGTTAATAGCTAAGACTCCATTCTAGTCATTTAATATATATCAAGATGTGTGACCAAGATCTAACTTTACATTTTTTTTTATTTTAATTATTTAAATATTATTCTGACCCTTTTACCATTGATCGTTGAATGGTTAACTTCGGCATTGACAATTGACTTTGGCATTGATCCATTGACCTTAGTACGGATTATATATGAAGGAAATATGCATTCATCATTATGCACTTAATATGAACTAAACATGCATTTGGTATGAGTTGCACATGCAATCCTTATAAACTAAATATGCACCAATAATAGCAACTAAGTTGCACTGTTTATGAACTAAATATGCATCATGAATGAATTAAATATTCATCATGTACATATTTAATTTAAAAATAACAAATATGCACTATGGATGAACTAAATATAAATTTCATATGACCGAATATGCATCATAAATGAACTAAATATGCATCATGTATATATTTAANAACGATAGAGAATATAATATAACAAAAGCGCACAAATGTGCAAATACAAGCAGCCCAAGGCTGAAAAGTGGGAGGACAGGTCATAAGACCGCCTAGAAACCCGGCTAGCAAGTGCTAGAACAGAAACTCAAAACTAAAACAACTAGACACGACCCCCAAGGGGTAATACAACAAAACAACTCAAACAACAAAACAACAACACACGACCCCCACAGGGTAATATCCGAGTGTCGGACCCCCACAGGGTAATAAATTTGACACCCGGATGCACCGAGGCCAACGGCCCAAACCTAAAACACAAACACAAATACAAAACAAACCCAAACAAGACAAACACAGACACCTAATTACTACACCCTCCCCCGAAGAAAGACGATCCCGAACGAGCAGCAACCGGATCACAGCTCGGCCCCTAGCCAAGGAACAGCTCCCGAAACTGCAATTTAGCCTATACAGAAACCGAACCCCCGCCCCCGAACCAAACCACGAGGCGATCTGCCGCCAACCGAGGGTACAGGCAGTTGAGCCACCCCTAACCGGCACACCCCAAGCGCACCTAACACCACTAGGCTACTCGGGGGCGTCGGACTCTGATCAAGCCGCAGCAGAGCCGGAGAAAAGGGGCAGCTCGCAGCCACATACCCTACTCCTGCAGCACCATCACAGGCCACCGGAGCCCCACCCCATCCATTGACCACCGCCATCCCAACGCCACCGCATCGGAGGATATCCCCACACCAGGACTTCGGCAGAGACGCTCCCTGCAAAAGACCGAGGGGAGGCATCAAGGCACCAACCGCCGAGGACGAGAGACCACCTCCCCCAACCAGAGTCCGCCACCTACACCAGGAACCTGCAAGCCACCGGGCTCCACTCGAGGGAGAAAGAACGGGAATCCCACCCACCAACCGTCTTGAGCCAATCCGCCGAATCCACCAAACACAGCCAGAGAAGAGAGAGACCGGCATCAGGGACAAGCCAGGCAGTCGCGGCGACCGCCGGCCCGGCCTCGCCGACGCCGGAGGAGGTGAAGCGATCGAGATTTAAGCGGCAAGAGTTAGGGTAAATTTGGGGGAGAAAATCGCAGGAGAGAGAAAATGAGGGGATGCTGTAAAATAAACTATGTATATATTTAACTTAAATATAACAAATATGCACTATGGATGAACAGAATGTGCATTTCGTATAAACCAAATATGCATCATGTATATATTTAATCTAAATATAACAAATATGCAGCCCGAGAGTCAAACTTTATTACCCTGTGGGGGTTCGACACTCGGGTATTATCCTGTGGGGGTCTTTGTGTTGTGTTGTTGTTTTCTTTTGTGGTTTTTAGTGTTGTTGAGCATTTTCCCATTGGGGTCGGTTCTAGGCGGTCTTTTGACCTGTCCTTCCAGTTTTCTCAAGTGTTAGCTATTTATATTCGGTTGGTGACTGTAATTTTGCACATTTGTGCTCTTTTATAATATATCTATCATTTCGAAAAAAACAAATATGAACTATGGATGAACTAAATGTGCATTTATTAAATAAATATGCATCATGAACGAACTAAATATGCATCATTATATACTTAACTTAAATATAACAAATGTCCATTTCATAATAACTAAAGACGCATCATCAATAAATTAAATATGCACTATGGATGAACTAAATATGAATTTCATATGACCGAATATGCATCATAAATGAACTAAATATGCATCATGTATATATTTAATTTAAATATAACAAATATGCACTATAGATGAACAGAATGTGCATTTCGTATGAACCTAATATGCATCATTATATATTTAATCTAAATATAACAAAATGCACTATGATCAACTAAATATGTATCATGAATTAACTAAATATGCATTTATATATTTAATTTAAATATAACAAATATGCGCTATGGATGAACTAAATATGCATCATTATATATTTAATTTAAATATAACAAATATGCACTATGGATGAACTAAATATGCATCATGAATTAACTAAATATGTATCATAAATTAACTAAATATGCTATGATTTAATTCAATATAACAAATATGCACTATAAATAAACTAAATATGCATCATGAATTAACTAAATATGCTATGAGTTACTTTAAATACGACAATTATGCACTATGGATGAACTGAATATGCATTTCGTATGAACTAAATATGCCTCATGAATTAACGAAATATGCGTCGTTATATATTTAATTTAAATGTAATAATTATGCACTATGGATGAACTAAATATGCATTTCTTGTGAACTAAATATGCATCATTATATATTTAATTTAAATATATCAAATATGCACTATGGATGAACTAAATATGCATTTCGTATTAACTAAATATGTATCACGAATTAACTAAATGTGAAACAATAATATCAACTGATTGGTCGGAAAAAGTGTATATTATGTATTTATTAGCTTATTTTTATATGCTTAATTTTGTCGCACTTATATATTTCTCGAATTATTTATTTAATTAGATGGATTCTTGTGCTATGATATTTTTATGATTTAATTTCAAGATTTTGGAGTATTTTGTGGAGCCGAAGCATTAGACGGAGATACCTGTTAATTGGACCCACAGATAAACCTTAATTGGGGCCCAACTTGTATGGAGTTTATCAAATTAGGAGAAATTACTTTGATTTGAGGAAAGAAATACTTGAAGGCTTGGACACATATTTAATTGTTGGGCCTGGGAGTGGATTACAAAAGGAGGAGTGAAAACTCATATTGGGAGGAATTATTTGCAACAGCCATGGGCCGTGACTCGTGAGAAAAGGCTACGGCTACGAATTACGAAGGAATTAAAGACAACCCTGAGGATTTATTTGCCCTATTCACGCAAGCAACAGCGGCGGGGATTTCAATATACAAAGCCGCCATCATTCACGCACCTGGGAAAATTATTGAAAGACGTACGCCGCACTCACGCAGAACAGAAGACAGAAGCATAAACGAGGAATCCGGCAATTACGGAGGGAGGCCACACCCGTACACGAAAAAGGGATAATTCTATTCTCTTTCTTTTGTTTTTATTTATTATAATGTTAGGCTAGGTTTTTATTTCTAGTTTCGGGGAAGTTGAAAACCCTACGACTTGACGATGTTTGATTGATTTTCATGGTTGATGATTTTATTATCTTTTTAGAATTGTTTGTGTTATTTTGAATAATTAACCATGATGTGTTGAGTCTTATTTAGATTAATCACCAAGATTAGACTTTTCATATCTACTGCTGAATTAGACCTTCAATTCGTAATTGTTGTTGTGTTTAATTCATTAGAGGCTATCGGAAGACGGTAACTACCGGGGATAACATGGCCTATTTAAGTGAATGCCGCGATTGAGTTCACTACTTAGTCTAGCCTATTTTTCTAATTCGTAAAGCGGCTAATTGTATTAAATCTTGAAAACGATTTTCTAGATTGTACAAGAAGTCAGGTTTAATCGTAGAGCATCTCGTGGTTAAATTAAAAATAAGGAAAAATTCGGGTAACAGACTGTGTCGTTGCCTAGGGCTAGTAATTCCATAAGATAGCGAGTTTTGATACTAAAATTGATTAGACGAGTCAGTCGAGGGTGTAGACAGAACCGTGAACTAGAAGTTTTCTCTTAATTTATTTTGTTTTATTTTCTTATTTATATTTCATTTCATTCATAGATAGATTATATTTATAATTCAATCCCCCCATTTATCGCTTTTCATAATTTCAATTAATACAAGAATATCACAATTTAATTCACACTCCTCGTGAGATTGACCCTTACTTACCACTACTACTAGTTAGTAGAGGTTAGTTGAGGAAAAATATAAATTTTAATTTTACCGCGTTGCGACGCGCGGTCAAATTTTGGCGCCGTTGCCAGGGAGTGGCGTTATTGAATTGTGATTTTTGAGAACTAATTGATTATTTTATTTTTTTTTTAGAATTTTGTTTTTATCATCTTTTATCCCCATTTTCCTCGTTTTATTTCGTTTGTTTTCTTGCAGAATATTGGGCGCCCCAATACTCCGTTGACAGAATAGTTCGACCTCATACTCGCGGGATTGACTAATCTTTGGGCGATTTTATCGAGCTTGGAGCAACTTTTCGAGAATGGCAGCCTATTATCATGATTTTTATTCCCATTGTGCACCTTACCAGTATGAGAGGGGGATACGAGGCCCGTGGATTGGAGATCGAGGTGTAAGAGGACCTAGTGGTTGGCAAATAGATGAGCAAGATTACTTCTATCTCGATGAGTATGAATACCGCTTGAGAGAGCACTCGAACTCTTTCCATGAGTACTTCGAGCCATTTGTTGAGAGACATCCCAGCCCATCGCTCGAGGATATGGTGAAGGCACTAGAGGCTCACACGTTGAGATTTCTGCAAGAACACTCCAAGCCATTTGTTGAGAACGACCCTGGTCCGTCTCTCGAGGATATGATGAAGGAGTTGACGGCTAACACCCTTAACTTTCAGCAAGGTGTTGAGGCGAGCATCAAGAACGAAAGAGTGCGCATAAGGAATTTACAAGGCCAAATGAGCCAATTGGTGGAACAGATGGACCGACTAGTGTATCGGCTCGAAACGAGTCCAATGAGTTCGCGCGTCACCCATTCGTACAGCGAGGACCTCGAGGAACCTGAAGAGTGCTCATACAAGCTGGAGAACAAAAAAATCACGAATATAGAGAAAACGGAGTCGAAACATCCCAGTACGAGGGCGCCCCATACTCTACCTGTTGCTCCCCATACTCGACCTGCTCGAGCCAAAAAGCGTACCGTTCTCCCCGTTTTTGTGCCGATAGAAGCTGATCCGTGTTTTATCTCTTCCAATATGAGGTGGGTGTTGAGTAAGGATGCAATGAATTATGTCTTGGGCCTTAATATCCAGCCTCTTGAGACGATCAAGACAAACGTAAGGCGCAAATGGGAGTTTCATGAGATGGTGACCGTGATTAAGCGTGGGTTGCTACACATTCATGGGGAATTAGCGTCATGGAGAAAAGATCCGGTGAAGCACCCAACACCGGAGAGGGGGAATTTCGAAGAACATGGTGCGGTGAGATTGATGCCTTCCTTGAGGCCACCTTAGAAGCTGCCATGGATCATTTGATGAAAGAAAGCAATAAGTCGGGACAACGACAATAAAAAAAGCGCTTGTTGGGAGGCAACCCAATGGTGTGTGTGGTCGGTGACTTCTTCCTCATTGACTAAGGTGAACTCGTTTCTTTTACTTTTGTTTTTGTTTTTGTGTTTATTTGTGTGTCTACGATATATGCAAACTCTAATTTTGGGGAGGTGGTTTCTTGGTGAGCATTCAAGTTTTATTATGTGATTATATTTTTATTCCCCTTGGAGTTTGAGTTCTTGGATTCTATTGCATGTAACTTTCACTATTTAATAATAATATGTAACTTTCACTATTTAATAATAATATGTAACTTTCAGTTACACAATTTATTTTGACAGATCCCGTTTTGGATGGTGCCCATTTATGTAACGTCTTTTCATGTCATGAAATACAAAATATTTTTCTTTTTACATTGATACTATATATTTTTTGGTATCATATAAATATATATTTCACAATTAATTAAGAATAACTACAAATATCTCTATTTTTTATTGCTGTCATACAATAAAAAAAATATTTTTTGGAATATTACAAAGATACATCAAATATTTTGAAAAATCAAATTCCAGAATCACGAGTCGAAGAGGTTTAATGATAATGATTATTGTGATGGGAAGTCTGACGATAAGAAAACCACGACTGTTGCATATAAAGAATTGTTTAGTAATATTTAGATTCGTTTCTAAAAAAAAGAAAAAAAATCCTGTATGATATTTTTATTTTATTTTGTATTTTTAATTACTTTCTCTTTTATTATATCGCTTTTCGTGCAAATACACGAGGTAAAACTAGTTTATATATATAAGTAGGCTATCCAATTACCGCGGATAACCTACTTTTTTTGCCCAAACCATTTTTTTGCTTAGTAAGGTAATTTTTTAATAATTAAGTTTAGTCATATTCTATTA